AGCCGTGAACTGTGCCAGAAAAATCTCGTTTAGAGTTTGTTACGAGGCGGCGCCTAGACAGATGATGCTCATCGTACGTGTTATCATCAGTACCTGTGTCGAAGGAGTAATTAACTTCTCTTATTACCGAGAGTGGACCCGAGTACATTACGTCGGCCGGGGAATCATTCATCAGCACTCTGACAGACGTACCGCACTAATAATGTGAACGGTTAGCGATGACTGATGGACGGCATCAATCCGGGAGTTGGTCTTTTTCCATTTTTGAAGGCCGGCTACCCCCTTTCTACGACTTTTATTCCCCAGTTATCAACATCATCAATTATCGGAGATCGAGAATGGGACAATGCTACAAACAATACCCGTAGGACAGGTGGTCCCACTCGTGCGAGTACAGAATCTAATTATCTTCTTTCACATTCAAAACATCCCTAGGACATTACCGTGTCACAAAGAGGAGATAATAACTTACTTAGCCGGTCACTCATCAGTTTTCAAATAAAAAGCACGACTGTCATTCTCCTAATGTATTATAATGGATTTTCTAACATTAAAATACTTGTGAGATTTCCTTAAGGGGTCTGCGATGTGATGACCTGTAGCTTGGTCGTTTCCGCTCATTTTGGTGTGTCATTCCTTGCTGTTTTGAAGAGCTAACCTCCTACAATTTGCCTAAGAGTAATGGATTAAACTAAATTTGACGAATCTGTACATAGTTTTGTAACCACACTAGATTTAAGTTTTTCCGTTTGCCATTAATGACTTTCTCCCTGGAGAAATATTCTGAAATAAACTTTCCAATGAATAGCTCCAGTCAGTAATAATTCCAAATGATATTTCGATCGGCGACCCTATCGGATCCAGTTTCTAAACATTATAATAAAATCAGTCGGCCTCCTCTCCGGCACTCATTAATTTGTTGCCAGTCCGTTCCCCTTTTATCAACAAGAGAGATCTCTTTATGAATTTTTACATATTTATAAGTTCTACTCTACAAGATGTATTCGAAGTACTCGAAGGCCAGAGTCGGGGATTCAATTAAACCAGTGTCTATGAGAGAGTGTGCATGTCCGTGTGTGGCTCATCGAGAAAGTTCTGTGGGCCTAATGTATTCAGTACAGCGGGGCCCGTCCGTGCCCGTGGCGTTCCGAGTGTTGGGACAGCCTGAAAAACCACGACTTTTCAACCCATAAGAACACAGAAACCTTATCGTGTCACAACCTTAAGTAAATTTCTATACAATCGTCAGTACGTCGTTTAACAGCAACTAAAATACTGAACATGTAGAATTATAGATTAAATTTGATAGCTTCTAACGCGATCTATCACTTCCGGTCTGATTTTGTCGCGACGACAAGCGATCCGGTTGTACAAAAATCACAGTTTTCCTGCGTAAACGCCCTACCGCCTTTGGTACTTTGAGGCACAGATTTGTGTCTGTTCTAGATTAAAATGAATTAATTTAAATAAAAATCAAAGAGAAATATTTAAGTGGTGGTATTTTCTCAATTTCTTCTCTTCTTATTAATTTAGCGCAGACAACATGGTATGTTTTTCTTTGAAATTCATTCTTGTCCGAATTCATTTCAACAATAGAAAAAATATATATGCCCTGAAGAAGAAAGCGATTAGACTGGACCCCTTACACATTCTATCGCCTATGTGACGGCCCCATATCGCAGACAGCCAGACGACCTCTGGTTCGCTACCCGCCGTGGCATATCGCGGTATACTGGAAGTTTTCCTCAGACAAATGCCTTCGCGATAAAATTTGTCAGAAATTATCCCATTACAAATATGACCAAAGTGTCACAGATTATCTAAGACACAATTACTGCAAACCTTTTTTTATAAACTTCTGAGATAGTTATCGTGTACTGGGCATTGTCATTTTGCAATAACAGAAGCAACCAGACAATGTCTAACTAATTTAAAACTCCTACTATGTGAAGTACCTTCAAATAATTAGTATATAATAGTTTAAAGTTTCCTATTTGAGGATAAATTTCGACTAGTTTGAATTTTCTCTTGCCAGGTACATTTGAAACATTTTAAGGTAAAAGAATTGGCTGAAGTATCTTTTTTAAATACCTTTATCAGGACGGGTAGCGTTTTTTGCGCAATAGCTGTGGTCATATCAACCACCTAGGTACTGGTGTTTTTGAGAAGAAAAATTTTATTGAGAAGACAAATTTTAGTATGCAGTAAGTAATTCACGATTCGAACTCTGGTGAGAGCATCATTTAACATTCTATGTCTCTACTTGATGTTTATCTGGCAGAAGAATGTGCTGCCCATGTGATTTGCATGTCTCAAAAAATTTATTAGTGCAAATGGTGAAGTCCAGCACGGGGACCATGTTTTGCGCAGTTTGTAGTTACGAGGTGTATATCCGAGTGATCTGTAGCAAGCCTCAGAAACTTTTTCAACAATAGCAGTCTGAGGAAGTTTGTCCTGCGTGTGAAACTCCAAGCAGCAAGCTCCAATACAAAAGCATCGGCCTTGTTCAGAAGCTTGTTGGCTTCCTACAGACTGTACTACAGACGAAGCATAAAGAAACAACTAATCCTTGTAGCTTGGACGACTTAAATTATTTTTTAAAGCCGTTGGTAATCAATATTTAAAAACATATGGCAATTTAAGCTCAATTAAGTTTTAGATTGATAGTTACCTATCAACTTGGACTTATATCCTCGCTGATTTTTGGCAGTCAAACGCGTTTCACATTTCGCCATCTTCAGTGTGTGTGATTCGTGGCAACTTTTTAACCAAAAGAACAATAAAAAACGACTTACCATAAAACACAACTATAATAATACTAATAACGGGAAAACCACCCACCAACCAAGACAGTGTAACTAAAACTTCACTCAACAGAAATTGCCCAAATATGGCGAAACGCGTCTGAATGTCAAAAATCAGCGAAGATAGGCTGACCAATATGATGTGTAACATCAAACTATAGGTTTATTACCCCAGAACCTGATCAGACCACAGGAGGAAATCTCACAATTCAATTAAGTCTTGTTTGTAGTATCTTTAAATATAATTATTTCAGAATGGCAAAAGTATCTACTACAACGATTGCTGCTGGGTTGAAGTTTTGTCTGCTAATTATTAGAATAAGAAACATACTCGATGCTCACTGGTTCTGCCTCCCAGGCCCCTATCAGCACAACGGCATTTTCAGTGGTTGATATGTCCGTCAAAATTACGTCGCCCTAGCTAGAAAATATTTAAAATATTCTTAAATTGTTCTTTAAGACTTTCACATCACAAAAATCTACCTGGGCTGAAAAAAATCTCCCGATTATCCTGGCAAAATAAATGTAAAGTCAGAACAATAAATAGCTCTGGGCAAATGAATTTGAAACTTACCTAGAATTCGTATACATACAATATATACTATACTAGAATACTTACACATTCAACAGAAGAAACTTCAATCTAATTAGAAATTGTCCCAGTTAAAAATATATCGCTAAAAAATGCTACCTTATATGCTGCCCAGACATTTTACATCCAGATATTTTGGCCTGGCCATCTAATGTGTTGTTACGACCTCCCCATTATTTGAAATTTCCTTGCACTCCATTTCAAATAAGGTTTTTTCTTGTACAATCAGTACAATTTACATTTGATAGTGTTTTAACAGCATTGCAAGTATTGTAAAACGGCTAGCCCAAACCGAAGAAGGGAGAAACAGTTTATACTCAGAGAGGGATGACGAGCGTGCCTGCATAATAGGGTGTTTCTTATAGGGGTGATTTAACGTTTCCAAGGGTTGCGCTTAATAGCCTATCGGCGGGGGGTTTGCCAGGATATATATGTACGTTTTATTACATTAATAGCTCACATTCGGTAAAGGGTGGTTGCTTGAAAAATGGGCTAGAAAATTATTCGGTGTCAATAAATCCCATCGTTTTTTCCCTTAACGGCTCCGGGGGTTCCATTTCCATTCCTTCGACTGTGTGTCAGGGGCTCTATCAATTAGATAAACCCTTATTATTTTGCATTGAAGAACTACTACTAAGTCTTGTATGAGAATGTAGTAATTTCATGTCATAAAATAACGATTGAACGATGACTTTGAAAAATTTATCCCCTTTAATGATTGATTATGGCCTTTCAGAACTTGTATCCCTTCTTGCTGCACTTAACGTGCAAGAGCTTTTCTTGGCAAAATGAAAGGTCAAATCAGAATTTTTTTCGGTAAAGATATAAAAAACCAGACGAAATTTATCTGCCTTAAGGAATTTCTAATTGATCTGAAACTACTTTTGGAGAATATAATTTAAGCTAATAACAATAATTAATGGAGCGCAAGATGCTCAAATTCCGACAGGAATTTGCCTATCCTAATAAACTTCAAAATACCCTTCAACGACTGAATAAAGAATCTCAGGCAAATTGGGATTTATACTAGGATAAATGAAAAAATTTGAGTGCCTTTGAGGGAAAATTGATTTCAACGTTACTCCTGTTCCATTACCGTCATCGAGCCCTGTCAAACCGACGATAACGAAATTTGGCAGGAAACTATGTTACAGGAAGCTACGGTTCTCGCCCTTTTCGTCCAGCGCATTAGGGCCAAGGGCTAAGTCAATTTCGTAGCGTATCGTCGAAACGAAACAGGGCGAAATTGTTCAGAGACCGGTAAGTCGTAAAGAAGCGCGAAGGAACAAGGTTTCCGAAAATCAATTATGCGAAATGCGATTTATGGAGGACGGATTTCAAATTTTAATAGAGTCTGTTTAAGCCCGGGGCGATGAAGAGGCCCCAATGGAAGAACCGCCGCCGTGTGAGGCCTTCCCCAATAGGTTTTCGGCTCGGCGATAAAGACCGGTTTCACTCCTATTCAGAGGTCTCCATCCTCGGATTTTCTTCGACTGATTCGACTACGCTCATAACAAATCAGACATCCGATTTAAACGAGTACAGAAGAAAATCAACATAAACCAACCAGAACCAATCACTCCAGTGCTTTGCAGATAAATTACCTGTAAACAAGAGAATCATTCGGCAGTTGCTGACCGGGACAACGAATTTTAGCGTAGCTGACACCCTTCTTAACCACTTCCTGGAAAAACAAAAACATATACATCATTAATACATATGTCAAATCTTACTCTTAATTGCTATAGAAAACGTAACTGATTATTCTTTGAGCGTGCGATGGCGGTCTGGTGTGACGTAGGGTTTACAAAAACATTTTCTTTATTGTGCCAATGTTTCGATCTTTATTGAGTTCATCTTCAGGGCCTGGGATTTACAAACATTGTTTAAATTTAACAAATACATGTGGATGTGGAAAAAATGTGAATTTATACAATGCAAAAAATATTTTTTATATTCAATCAAAGGATTTCTACTCACTCAAAGTGCTTGTTTTGGCCAGGCCCAGAAGATGATCTCAATAAAGATCGAAACGTTAGCATGATAAAGAAAACGTTTTTTTTTTTTTTTTTAACTACGTCACACCAGACCGCATCTCACACTATCTCCGAATAACCATCGACTAACGTCACTAATCACCACACAAGAAACCGTAATTTTAAAGTTCTTTAATTTTCTGATATTTCACGCTTCTAATTGTTTTATTTTATTTTTTTTTGCTTCTTTCAACAGTATTAATTTTCAATGTAACAAGTAAAATTGTTACACAAAATGTAAAAACACTTATAAAAATCAGAGAGCGAGGAATTCACTCTTTTAATAGTCACTTGCTGACCGGTTCCCAGGGCCAGTGGCGCTTTAACTTTTTAGGATTAATTGGAATAGTGCGGGGTGATAAGCTAAGGGATTGGGATTGAAATGCATTTGTAGAATAATTTTGCAACGGGATTTTCATTATCGATCACTTTTTCACTTACAAACACTGTGGATCAGGTATGATCTTGAAGAAGAAAGCAAATTTTAAAGTCATCGTCAGGGCAAAACGACCGTAAATATGTCTACAGATTGGCATATATATTTTTTTACAGGCAGTTTCAAATTTCTTTGAAGACTCAGTCCCAACGTTGCCAAGGACTGTAACAGTAAAGCTTGGCAGTACCAACAGAATTAACTTTCTTCCTCAATTCATACCTTGATCCAGAGTGTTCGTAAACGGGATTTATGACATCTTTCACCAAAGGAGTATGTAAGATTTGGATGCGACGATGGTTTGAATGTAGTTGTTTAATAGTTTGGGGATGGTTTGGAATGATTAGGGTTTTAGTAGTGAAAGTATTTTTGTTACGATACTATGTTCCTGACGTTTCAGTTTAGTGTGTGGATTCCTGTTAGTTTTTTTGTTGATTGCGTAGTCCAGGTTTAGCTATAGGAGGGATATATAATGTAAGTAAGATAGAGGCATTTTTTTTCCAATGGAGGGTAAAGAAATGTGTTGGCTTATAGGTTAAAAAGTGTAACAAAACGTATAACAAAAAAATTAATAATATGGAAAATTTATGTTAAAAACGAAAACTATTGGTAACGTGTAGAGAAAAACTAGTATATGGAAGATAGTAAATAAATTGAAAAATCACTTACATTATGAGAGTAGTATTTGACCGTCATTGTCAAATCCACAATTAGCCCCAAGTTGGAAACTTTCTCCAGGAGAATCGGAATGGTAAACCTAGAAAAAAATCTATCCGTTAGAAGAGATTGGAAGAATGTACGAAAATTTAAGTGCCAAGGCACAAATCTTAAGGCTATATGGAAAAATAAGGACGTGGCTCTAAAGTTAAGTTCTAATCCCTATTTTTGGAAAACGTGCAAATATAAATCGAAAGATGGCTACATGTTCCCGTTGAACGTAGTGTAAGTGAAATATAAATGAAGTTGTGTTTCGTAGAAGTTGTGCAACACTAAGATTTCTACCACTTGGTAGGTTATTAGTATGTAATTTAAGCGTTTCCGATCATTTTCATCATTTTTATATCAAGAAACTGAATAACCAACTGAATTAATTTATGTTTAATAACCATGCATTATAGTTTTTAATTATTATCTTTTAATTTGTTAGTTATTATTATTGCCTTATAATCTTCCTTTCCTGTCTAAACTGTTATTAATAGGTCTGCTGACACAGGTAAATGGACAAAAGCATGAAACCCTATTTTATTGCTTATTTTACCCAATGTAGTCAAGAATTAAATTTGTTTTCGCAGGAAGACGTTATTTGTTGAGAATTAAGATCCAAAGGGATCGTCTCTCTTGAGAAAAATCAGGTCTGCCTTAGACTTCTTATAAGAAGAATAACCGTGGGTCAAATAATCTAAATATTTAAACGGTCGCTCACATTTTCCGATGTGGTCTAGATGGCTGAAAAAGTCTAGATTAGACAAGGGCATGATTCCCAAAAAAGAGGTGTTGTAGAGAATGGTCGTTGGATGAGGTGATGCCCATATTTTCTGGCCGGTGACTACAAAGGGCGGTTTAATGGTCATAACAATGTACCAATAAAACATGTAACAAAAAGGAACCACGGGAAAGGGAAGGAAGGGAAATCAGTACACAGCCTCCACACCCACTCTGGGGACTTGAAGTGCTCCTAACAATTTATTGCTGGACGCGATACTTATTTTCATTCAGTTTCTGAGATTTGTGAGCTCTGGGGAAAAATTACGCCTCCATGAGAGAAGCTGAAAGAGTTTACCGTTGCAATCCACATGTGCCCTTGTTAAAATTTGCAGAATGCTGTTATCACAGAGGATGGTTAATGTTGTTGCATTTTTAGGCTAAAATATTCCAAAAGATTCTGTTTCAACCTAAATCTATCATCAAAACCTAAAAAAAGGTCAATTTTTAGTGATTGCTAATGAATATATTGGACTGTAACTACGATTAACCAAGCCACATTTAGCTTTAGGCATTGCTTGCAGGATTTTTTCTAAATAAATATTTAAAAAATATTTTTCTGTAAGGTTATTCAGATATCGTGAGATGCGGTCAGGAATGTCCCGACCGCATCTCACGATATCTGAATAACTATAGATTAACGGACACTAATTTCTACACATTTCTGTAAGGTATTGGTTGAGATAAAAAAGTCAGTGTCACAAGCGGGATTCGAACCCACGACCTTCGGCTAAATGCGCCGCTGCTCTACCACTTGAGCTATCGTGACTTCGATCCACTCGTACACTGATTTGCCAACTCAAGTGGTAGAGCAGCGGCGTATTTAGCCGAAGGTCGTGGGTTCGAATCCCGCTCGTGACATTGACTTTTTTATCTCAATCAATACCTTACAGAAAAATTAATTAATTGAAAGAAGTTATTTGGTCAATCGGACCACAAACTCTAATGGATTTTAAAAAAATGTTAATAATATCAGTTTTCAAACTCCCTATAAAACTATCTTTGATTTCTTTGCTAGTAAATTAATTCCACATGGTGCCGAAAAATTTAAGGACCAAATCATGTCACAGGGTTTCGCCCCATGTTAAACACCCTGTATGATGACCAATATTTTGGGAATTCTTCAGACACCTTACCCTGAGGAGACCATTTTCTTATACAGCACCTAGTGTATGTATGCATACAGAATTTCTCATCCAATTCGAATTAAATGATACATTTACACTATTAATTACTTCTCAGGGAGGCAGAAAAAGAAAGATATTTATTTTCACACATCCAGCAACGGAAGTACATGTTCTCGAATACATAAAGAGAGGAGATAAATAACTCCCCCGATTAACTATTTTAGGATAAATCGAGCGAACAAAGGATGCGTTGGTCCAATATTATCATGACAAAAAAGAAGATAACTTAAGACCGATGTAAGGGCAGCAGAAGAAGATAAAGAATTATAGTTGTTAAGTCCTGACAATGACGAACAAAAATATATCTGTTGTTCAATTTATTATTTAACTCCTTTTTTATCAAACATGAGAGGTAGAAATAATTTTCTAATCTAAGGGAAAATCATTCTAAGTTATTAATCCATTAAGAGTTACAGTTCTAAAAGTCGCAGCATTAACAGATAATTTCTAAACAAGTTATCTTAATAACAGGGCGTCAACCTTTTCTTGTACTCTAAACAGTATACTATATTTTCTTTTTACAATTTTCTTAGTCCTGAAGGGAGCAAATGAGTTTTTTCATATACTAAGTCGAGTAACATTCTATTTTCCTCATGATCGAAACCTTTTTAAGAGAGCATTTGGAAGTTTAGCGCCTGGCGCTTTCGTGCGTGTGGTTCTCCGTTTTTTAAAAACCAAGAGTACCGACCTATCACAAATGTGCTTTTTCTTCCCACGGAGGGCCCAAGAAGACATCTTCTCAACGGTCGTTAGCCCCGGAATAGTTTCGGCCTGTAGAAGGGTTGCCCAGGGAAAAAAAGAAGGTGTGTACACTTTATTCAATAAACACGTTGTGGAGCTACCAATTAGTGGGGCCCGCGCGGTTACAATGTGCACCGGGTTGACCGTGGGTGGAGTTTTATAGTCAGGCTTTCCGTGTAATAAGCGCAATTACCCCATCTCCATATGCATGTCCGCAAGGGGCGCCCGTTTCTAACGAGGTGTGAAACACTTTATATATGTTTGTACACTGCCAGATATGCATTAGTAATATTGTTACATTATTCATCAGAAGAAGGCGATAGGTGTCCAGCCGAGATTTTATTTTGTTTATGCTTTTTTTGTAGCCACTTCCCTAGAAGAGAACCAACTACCACCAACGCACATCTGCCTGTGGAAGAAATTTCAGTTACTTCGCGTATAGCAAGTAAGTAATTGTTAGGGCTAGACAAAGGCAAAAATGAATCTATTTGCTGTACACTGAATACATGATTCTAAGAGGAAAAAAATTAAATGATAATGTACAACAATAATGTAAAATCAACTCTCAGTAAATGTAACTTGTGCTTAAGAACCGTAGGTGTGAGTTCACAAATAGTTTTACATATTACAAAAATATACCAAAAACAGATTTATAAAATTTAGTGGTTGCAGTATATATTTATTAGACTATTGATATTTTATATAATTCATTAAATAATTATTATAATAGCATATCACTTTTAAAAAATTTCTCTTCTTTAATTATTTAAAAAAAAGTTAAATTGATAAGAGAGAAAGGAATTGATATCATTTTTGTTTTGATATATGATTCTTAATCCTACATTTATGTGTTGTTATAATGCATGGAAGTGTTTACTTTAGGGTCAATAAATTTTATCAACGCGTTTGTTCTTGTAGTGTAATTTAGTCTTTTTACAATTTAAAATCAATGTAGAGTTGTTTTGTGTTGTACCTACTATGTTTATTTAGCAATAGTTTTATTAAAGAATTTTGAGCAATGATTATTGGAGAAATTGAAGATTTGGAGGTACCACTCCAAAATAATATTCCCTATGTTATCAAGGATTGTGCTAATGCAAAATAAAAAGACTTCATTAAATTTAGGTGAATAATATATCTTAAAATTTTAAATATATAAAATAAACTTCTAAACATTTTACCAAGGTATTAATATGAAACATAAAATTTTATTTACTATAAAAATTTATGCCCAAATATTTAGCTTGTTTAACAATGCTATAGTCTTGCAATTACAGTTAAATAAATGTATAGAATAATGTAATTCTATGTTTTCAGTTAAATTGTTTTGATTTGAGAGAAGAAATTTAATTATATTAGTTTAAGTGTATTTAAAAGTAATAAATTACTATCTAACCATTTTTTAATTACTATTATTTCATCGTTAATATTTTTTATTGTATCATCACAATTGTTGCTAGAAAAAAGTATAGCTGTCTATTCAGCGAATCCCAGTAATGTACCAGGAGGTTTTAGCTTAAGTAAGTAATGTAAATTAAAAATAGTACAGGCCCTAAAACACTTTGCTGTGGAACATCTCAATTAATACAAGTTGCTAAAAGTATGGCTTATTTTCGTTTTTTGAGAGCTTTGTAACAAATAAGATTTAATGAAATTATAAACTGATTCTTTGATATCAATATTGAAATGTTTTTCAAGCAATACTGCATGATCTACAGAATCAAACTCCTTTGAGATATATCCAAGAACAATCCTATGACTTTAGTTTTATTGTCAAGAGCTCTTGATATAAAATCGGAAGCTTCAAAAAGTGCATATTCTTCAAACTTACATAATTGAAATCCATATTGGTTTGGGGCAGTTATTTTGTTATCAGACAGAAAATCACCAATTTTTTTAAAACATATTTTTCGTTTTACATAGTGATAGTGCAAGGGAAATAAGTCTGTAATTGTTAAATAGGTCTGTATTTGTTGTTTGAGCCTTTTCATAAAACAAAAAACTACAAATATTCAAAATATCGACACTTGAATTGCAAATTTAATTTGTTTTTATGCATTGTATGGACCAGGGCAAAATGATTCGAAAATTACTTGGCTAAATGCGGCTTTGTAACATATCTAAAATTAGGGGTGTCGATTGGCCTACGAATGGATGAAGTTGATCGAATGTCGATTAATTCTGTGTTACAGTTACTACAATAAGTTTATAGCTACGTACAAATAAAAAACCTCTACCTTTTTATTGTACCTAGTGACCTAAACCTGGACCTGCGTGAGATGTCTATCGTAATGGGTAATCGATTGGTACCCACATATTTTTTCCTCTTCAATAAAAAACCTTGGAT